AGTCTTGATGTGGCTAATTATGGTTTAAAGAGAGTTATTTCTTGGGAATGAGCATACACTTTGCGTAACTTTTTTTTTGCAAATCTTCGCTTAGTTTCCTCTATAATAAGCGTTAACAAGCATGTACAGATAATCTTCTGATTTATTGGTAATTAAAGTACACCTCTCTAGAAGTGCGAGCGCGAATAATCTAGAAGTTGGCAGTTTTTTCATCGCAAATTGGCAAGTAAGTTCAAACACAAGCGTAGGTGATACTCACACTCTGACAAAAGATGTCCGGTAATTTTCTAATGTTAGAACAATGTGTGGAACAATTTTTGTATCTCCCTATGTTCATTAATGGAGCTACAGATGTTCGAAACGGAAAGAGTTTATTATTAAAATTTAATTCGCGCCCCATTGTACTATCTTAAGATACTTCAGAGTGCATGAGAGTGAGAATGAATTCTAAATAATCTTGTAACAGTACAATTATTTTACGCATATACTTCACGGAGAAAGTGCGGTGGAGGACCTGGAAAAGCTATCTCATTCAATTTCTGAATCTAATATGAACCCTGTGGTTTTTTGCATTTATGCAAAATAGCAAAAAAGCACTTTCATGCTCTAGGGCTTTTCGCTGCACATTTTTTTTGTTACAATTTATTAGCAGTTGAAGAGCATCATCACAACTTTTTTTGTCTGCTCTCTGGCTTAGATTGTATTTCTTTTTAGACTTAAATTTGCAGTTCGAAGTTTTAGACATTTGTCAAAAATGCAAATCAACAAACGTGATGCATGGTTCGAAAGAATGGACATTATGCTGTTGCAAATATTAAAACCAGAGATTTCTACGGACAAAACTTTGTGAGCTCTGGGACTAGAAGAATACGTAAAACTTTGCGGACAACCTGAGAGAAGGCAAGAATTCAATTTGCAGAAGTGCCTCACCAAGTGAGATTTTTGCATAAATTATAAGTTGTAAAGCAAATCTCAAAAGTTAATGAACTTGAAATTCTAGACTTAACAATTTGCATCTAGTCCTAAGTACCTCAAGAGCCACAGGTTACTGAGAAAAAAAATAATGAACGCGCAAACGCTATACATATAGAATTCATGTTACCTAATCAATGAAGTGTGTATTTCATATTGAATTTCACTGATTTTGGAGGATTCGTTCCCTTTCTCCCATGAGCGCTTCGTCACATAACGCAAGAAGACAAGCTAACAATTATTTTGTACATTTAATCATAGACTCACCTATCATCTTACGCAATCCACATCATCTTTAGACTGATAATTTGATATTAGTCTATCTACAGACTACGTATAAGGTATGTATTGATTTTTCATTTTTCTCACGAAAAAAAGCTGTAGTGATTGTACACGGTTGACAATAAATCCTAGTTTTCTATACGTCAATTTTTTCAAACTAAAACCAGGACAAGAAGAGCCAAGTTCTACCGCAATCTTATCTTTTATATTATTAAAAACTGTAAGGCACTACCGTAAAGATGAACACTAAACGTAAGTTGCATATCTCAGAAATTTTATAAAGATCTAAGCTCCTTTTAAAAAAAAGATTTTACCCATGCGAAAAAAACCGCTGCCGTCAACGTCTTGAAAATAAGCGGAGAAACTGATCTACTCAAATGTACAATCACGTATTTTTAAATTATAACGCATTATCTGTGCGAACAGCATCAGTCAAATACAAGCATCAGAACCTACAGTAAGACAGGATTTCCATAGGCAAAAAACCTCCTACGGTATGATTGGTTGTTAGGGAAATGCGTCTATGATTCCCAAGCATAGAACATGGAGTAAAGCCAAACTCAAAGGATTGTATAGAAGTGCGCGATGAACTGCAAAATGCCCACGCATACTTCAGAAAAAAGTCTAAAGCACATTGTATAAAAAAAAAGAACGCAGACTTAAAAGTCTCTCCCCACCCCCTATCAATCCACTCCTCATTTTGATCACTTTCGTAGCGCAGAGCTATGCGGTCAAGTTGAGCTGATTTTTGCATACCGCGATTGCACATCATACACCACTGAGAAAGGGCACCATCACTTAGTCGCAGAACATAAATTACAAGCAAATTACGTCTGCCTTTTCTAAACCTGCTGCTTGATGTGTTACCGCACCATCTGCACAATAACCTACTCGAAGGTAAGGAATGTGAACAAAAACAACGCTTTTCAGTATTGTTTCTTACTTAAAGACACAAGTAGAGATATGTCTTGAAACTTATCGAAAGAGAATTATGAACGAACTTGTGTTTTCTACCTTTCAAAACTATAGTCCGAATTCTACGAAAAAAACCAAATCTTATGTAGATAAAAGCTGTAAGTTCCACTAATTCAAATCTTACCCAATAGAAGCAACTTGACGACTTTCTGTGAAGCAAGGTGACCCTGCATCATCTCTTTATCGATAGCTTTACTTTTTTGAGCCAATTGCTTGTCCTCAGCGGACTGACACAAGCCCATTTTTCCTGCGGAATATCTCAAGAATTTGCTCTGCTAACAGCTTGTGAACATCTGAAATTA